AGCTCTCCGCGTGTCTTCAGTAGAGCGTGAAGATAAATAAATATTTCTCAGCTTAAGGTGTGATATTTGAGAAAAAGTGGCATTTTTTCGCAGTATACTATAACCCATAAACAAGATGTGAGCAAACACTATCTAAAAACCTCATACAAAACCAAGAAAAAGTTGAAAAAATATAATAGTATAATATAATATAATATTGAAAAAAGATAACCGCATGTGCTCGTAAAGAGAGTAATAAGTAGCATGCAAACTTAACTCGTGAAGTAATTAATGGAAAAAATCTAGAAAATCAATGAGGCAGAACTGTCAGTTTCAGTGATCATGTGTCATGCAGGACCATTGCAACAAGTTTCAATATTTAAAAAATTGAATATCCCATGTTAGTGGGGCGAAAATCATCAGCTCTCTTAACTACGAGTAGAGCACATACATTATGCATTTAATGGTTGGCAGTTTAGACCACCACTGACTTACGGTATAGTAACATCGTCGAATTTAATTGAAAGTTTTAGCAAGCTTAATCGTGTCGATATCCGACTCACCATGTGAATATGAAATGGAATTGTTTGACCCTGATGAAACCAAGTAAATTACAAGCTAGGGTAAATTAAGTAAAAACTCTAAAATTAAGCAATTTCCAGGGAGAAAACCAGAATTGTGATTGCAATAAATCTTACAGGATAAAAGGTTCGTAAGATAATAGAAAGGCTTAGAATAATAATAAGAGAAGATAGCGCCCTAGTTCACTCTCATATATAAAAGATATAAACCGGGGTATATAGTTGTCAAAGGTAAGCGCATAAATTTGTCAGATGAAATGTAACTTAGAGAATATGAAAGGGGCCGAAAATGCCTAGTAGGTCACTTATACATGGAGGAAGTTAAATAAAATGTAAAAGGCACTGAAAAAATCGGAATCTATACAAATTATATTATCGGCCAAGTTAATTTTAATGAATAAATCAAGTCATTTCTGTCTGAGTTATGTGATACCTGTTTTATGCCGTTCAAAAAGATATCACCAGCCTTATTATAGAATAGTGATTTATGCATACTAACCAAGCACTTATGTTGCTTGATCTAACTTCCTATTCTTTTACTATAATTGCTTCATTTTCAAATTACCCGAATGTTCCAGATGAGATCAGGCTTAATATGGTCTTCATTGAATTGGTAGAAAAAAAGACGCCAATTTGTTGGGCTCCCTTGCCCGGGCAAATTATCGTTGTTGTTGCGTAAAGAAGAAGGCATATTCCTGGGACGGCGTAGAACAACAGGTCTGTCATCTATAGTATCTTGTCGAGAAGAAGCGAGAGACTGAAAAATATAGAAAAAGAATAAATACAATAAAGATGGGAAGAAAATAGTCTAAAACAAAATAAAGGTTTAAAATGTAGAGATTTCTGTAACAATAGGTAATAGTTCCGTAGTAAACACAAAAACCTTAGGTCAATATCTTTCCAGTGAATCATGAAAAAATTTAAGGGACACTATGAAAG